ACAAAATAAGACACTGAATAGTGAGCCAGGACTGAAGGCACAAGCCTGAAATTCCATCTAGTCAGGAGGCTAAATCAGGAGAATAGTGTGTTGAAGGCCTGCGGGGCTACAGAGTGAGTTCAAGGCCAGCCTGGGCAACTTTGTGAGACTGTATGTCAAAATGCTAGGTATAAAACAGGCTGGGAGATTAGCTCAGTGAAAGGGTCCTTGTTTAGCATGTGTGATGCCCTGGGTTCAATCCCCAGTACTGCAAAAGGAAAGAAAGAAAAGAAAGGAGAGAGAGGGAGAATAAGTTATCATCCAAGGCTAGCCATGGTAGAGGGTAGGAAGAGAGAGAGATGTGACCAGAGGTGGATCTTTGTGGTAATGGACTAAATCTCTATCATGACTGTAACAATGGTTACACAAACCTACACAGGCAGAATCTCACAGAATTGCCAATGTTCATTTCTTGGTTTTAATACTGTGCCCCTAGTATAAAATGTAACCACTGAGGAAAATTGGATGAAGCTCTGTTTTAAAATATTATCATTAGAGGAAACCAGACCTCTCTACAGTCTTTGAAACTTCCTGTGAATCTATAATTATATCAAAATAAAGCTAAAACATAATAAATAAAAAAAATGTTACCAGGAAAACATGTTATAAAACCATACCAATGAGGCTGGGGAGATGGCTCAGTGGTCAAGAGCACTTGTTGCTCTTGCAGAGGACCAGATTTTGATTTAGGAGCCCACATCAAGGGGCTCACAATTGCCTGAACTCCAGCTCCAGGGAATCCAATACCCTTTTCTGGCCTCCACAGGAACCTGCACACATGTGGCATTCACTTGCACAGACACAGACATAAACATAAAAATGATAAAAAAATAAATCTTAAAAAAAAAACACACAGCATGGCATCAGAGCAGGTGCAGACAAATAAAACAAGAATAGGATCCAGTGTCAAAGTACAGATAAGGCCTTGGGGCACAGTAAGTGTGGCAGCACTGCGGGCGAAGGAGAGAACGACCACAGGAAGAGAGTGACCACAGGAAAAGAAACTGGATCACAAACTTCTGGCATATGAAAAGGCAGAGTCTGAGCCCGGCGTGGTGGCACACACCTTTAGTCCCAGCAGAGATGGATCTCTGTGAGTTTAAGGCCAGCCTGGTCTACATAGCAAATTTCAGACCAGCTGGGGTTACAAGGAGACCCTGTCTCAAAAAAAAAAAAAAAAAAAAAAAGAGTCTGGACATCTTGATCTATAAATTTAAAAGAGAAAGAGAGCTATGAAGTATGAAGTTAGTAAATATATAACATAGAAGGATTAAGTTTGTGACACAGAATTGAGAAAAGACTTCTGAAACAAAACCTCTAACCACAAATCAAACAGGAAAAAAAAATCTATCATATAAAATTCAAGGTGTCTGTTCAATGAAGGATTTCGTTAAAAACATTACTGACAGAAGACAGATTGGGCGGAGATATATTTGCTATACTTAAAGGACTTCTATCTAGGAAATAGAACAAGGAAGGTCTGCACTATGGTTTGGCTCCAGGTGGAGCGGGTCCACCAAGGGTGTTATGTGGTGAAAAATAATCATTGTGAGGCACTAAAGGGAGTGGAAATTGTATCTATATGGTGGGGGCCTTTGGGAAATGATTAGAATCAGATAATGTCCTCAGAGTAGTAGCCCATAATTGAACACTGGTGATTTTATGAGAACAGTAAGAATGACTAGAAGATACACAAATACACATACACACACACACACACACACACACACACACACACACACATGCTTGCGCACACACAAGCACGCACTTCCTATCTTTGGCTATCTGATGCCTGCTCTACCTTGACACAAGGTAATTACCACATGAGGCCCTTCAAAGTTGGACATCCAGAACTGTGAGCCAAAGAAAATCTCTTCATGTTAAAAAAAAAAATGTTGTTGTATTATTACCAACAGAAAACAGACTAAGACAGACTGAAAATACAGAATAAAAATGGGTAATGGAATAAACAAACAATTTTACAAAAAGAAAAACCCCCAAAAGATAAAATGCTTAGGAGAAAATTTCAAATTCAGGGTTGGGGATATAGCACAGTGGTAGAGCACTTGCCTTGGATATATGAGGCACTGCAATCCCCAGTACTAAGCATTAAAAAATTAACAGTTCAAATTCGTTTTAAAATGAGATTGAATTTTTGTACTTAACAGTCTGAAAAAGACAGAGTGTTGCATTACAGTATGCTACACATCAGTGAAGAGGGAAGATACAGGAACTCCATGAATTACCTTGCAGAAATAGAGACCTCTGCAGCTTTTCTGGAAAATCTGGCAGAGCTTCAATAAAATACGATTGTGAGTCCTATTCTTGATCTAAAAGGTATGTTTATCCCAATGCTGTCTCTAAATGCTAGGAAAATAAAGATAAGATGGATAGCCATGAGTAAAGTGGACAGATGAACTGAAGCAGATGTACATGCTAAAATACTGTGCAGAAGTTAGAAGCAATGGACAACTTAGAAAAAGAAAATTAATTAAATATAACATGACATCATCTCTGTAAATTAAAAATGTAGACACTCAAGGCAATACACAATAGCACAAACAAAAACATATACCACACATTCATTGTTATGGTTGTTACTGGGTGAATGAGCAAGAATATGGAGTAAGTATTGGAACAAATGTAATAAGAGAGAGAACACAACTAGCTACTAGCTACTGACCCAGCCCAATTGTTAGAGTCCAGGTCTGCAGATGACCCCCAAGTCCTGTAAAGGCTCACAAGACAGGCTCTGAGGGCCCCCTTGCAAAACAGGAACTGGCCAGGCAGCTGCATTTAGAGCTGTCTCAGCACAAAGCTGTTCCCCAGATTTTAGAAGATAAACAGGCCCCTGAACCCCAGACCCATTGATGTATGAGCGGTCTCAATAGAAGCTGCTTTCCCTGAAACTGTAAAAATTATTTTTGCCGCCTTCCACATTCCCCAACCCCCCTATAAGAACTTCCTCAGCAGTCAGCAGGCAACTGGTTGCCTTTCTCTCCCCAGCTGAGCTGCCAGCCACCAGCAATCCTCAGAAATAAACTTTGCTTTGCCCGAATCCTGTGTTTTCTGTGGCTATTTCCTGCCTGACTTTTATCTAACACCAATGATGAGCAAGGAAGTAAGGAGGATTAACTCAGGCCTCAGTACCTGAGCTCTAAAAGGAACTTCAAGGATTCATTTCTAATGTACCACATACCACTAAAACTGAACTTGTTAAAAGGAGAAACAGCTTTACTTCCTTTAACTTTAAAATAGAACCTCTGCTCAAGATAAAAGCACATTTGACTCAGTACCCTAAATTTTAAGTTTCCACAATGATACTCAAGGTAAAGATTAGTCTCTTTGTTTCATCCAGTCACTCAAATCTCTTAAAATTTAGCCACAGGTAGCAAAAAGAAAAGAAATGTGTCTACTCGAGTCATTCTGTGAGGAAAGTAGGGTTCAGGA